CCCACTTGGTGGCTAAAAATACCCTTTATTTGTACCCGGCTACATGTCGTTATTTTGATTTCCTTTCCCGGTTATATACAAAAGTTGTATTTGTGGAATCTCTTTTACAATCAATACAAGATTATCTTTTGTTAAAAAAAAAATTTTAAATGCATAGCTGCTAAAAAATTCTCGAAAAAACTAACAATTATGGTAAAGTAAATTAATATTAATTCAATAATATTATATCAATTAATATTATGATTAAATAAAATTGGAACACTATCATCACCAACTAGGTGACAATTTTTATCTTTAGTACGAATACTAATATAAGCATTATATGGATTATGGCAAAAATATATGTTTCATTTTTAATACACGATAGGTATAGTATATGATCAATACTTTTTCGATATTGAAATCATTGTACCATTTTTATTTATAGTCATCTTTCCCACTTTTGGTGAGAAAATACGTTTGTGAATATTTCATTAAAATCATTCAAACAACCAGATTGGTATTGGTATCAATCCACATTCACTTATGAGAATAGTTTATTGTATTCACTTCTGAGAATTGAAAAAAACTTTATTTGCACCTAATTAGATATTCTTTTATCAGGAGACTAATACATTTCTCAGATTTAAAAGACATGAAATTAATTAATAATTTATAAAATCCTTGCATATTAATGCTACTACTGGTACTGGAGGAAGAATGACACAAATATTGTTTTTTTTTTTAAATTTACCATCAATATGGCGGATTGAAAAGTATTGACACAGATACTGTATTTTGGAGAAAAAAATATGGCGCTGCCGCTTCTGCTGATTTTTTGGATCGTTTTATTAACTTGACAGCGGCGGCGCCCAAGACTCAGGTGGCACCGCCTGAGACCTAGGTGAGTTGGTGGGAAATCATCCTAGGCGGTGGCGCCCAAGACTAAGGTGGCACCGCTGGCTTATTGCTGGCCACCCACCTTATAAAAACCCAGCCAATTTCGTTTCAGATTCACACCACAAAAAAAAATCGTCCAAAAAAGAGGCGAGAGCTCTAGTTGTTGCTGCAAAAATGGCTAATAGGTAAGAGACACATTTATTTTTGTAATTATATTATTCAAATGCTATTATGATTGTGTTTAGTTTTAATTAGTGAGTTTGTTTTTTTTAGTGATTTTAGAAGATTTGAACTAGTCGTTCGGTGGAAATCGGAGAAAGTAGAGGATAATTTGGGCGTCAAATTCGTTGGTGGTAGTATTTTTCAATTGACGGTTCCATCCAGGGTCACATATCACAAACTTTGTGAGAATCTAATTCCGAGAATACGACGTAGAGACGAAGCAGTACAAGATAGTGATGTGATCACAGGTTTCACTTACCGTCTTCCAGAATGGCATAATGGTGTTTTATTTCATTATGCGATACCTATTGTGGATGATGATAGCTTGAATGTGCTCTGGAATTTTATGGCACAAAATCCTTATTGTTTGGGTGCTGAGATACATGTTGAGCTCAGTGAGGATCAGGGTGGAGAGGAAGAAGATGATACATGGAGCGTGCCATCCGATCATGACTATGATGACGGTGATGACGGAGAGGAGGAAGATGAGGAGGAGGAGGAGGAGGAGGAGGAGGAGGAAGAAGAAGAGGGGGAAGGAGAGCAGCCTAATTATCCTCCATATTTTTACTTGCAGGGTAATGAAAAGGACGAAGAATTATCACTTGTTGATTCATATGGTGTAATTCCAATGCCTATTGTTGATAGTTTTGAAGGAGAATTCTACAAGGGGAAGATATTTCACTCGAAACAAGCTGCATAGATGGCGATTAAACACCACGCACTACAACGCAACTTTCAATATGGCGTGGTGGAGTCGTCACCTTCAATATGGAAAGTCAGATGCTTGAGGCACAAGGATAACAATTGTCCTTGGATGGTGCGGTTTGGATGTTGAGATGTTGGAGGCGAATGGACTGTGAGAAAGGCTGAGTTGGTGCATTCTTGTAGCAGTACGACTCAACCGACGGATCATCGCCATCTTGATGTCGACATGATATCTGAGGCCGTCAAACATTTGGTACGTGCCCAACCAAATCTGAGTGTTCTAACTGTTCAGGCCGAGTTGAAAGATAAGTTTAATATGCAAGTTACTTACAAGAAGGCTTGGTATGGGAAACAAAGAGCATTTGAGAAGTTGCAGGGAAATTGGGAAGAATCTTACGATTTTTTGCAAACATTCTTGCGGGTGGTCAAGAGAAAAATGCCAACATCGGTGATTGATTGGGTAAGAGTTCCTTCGACTCAACCAGGTCATTCAATATTTCAGCGAGTATTATGGGCTTATGGACCTTGTATAGATGGATTCAAGAATTGTCCAGTCGTCATGGTTGTTGATGGAACATTTCTTACTGGGAAGTATAAAGGAGTGCTTCTCATGGCGAGCTCATTTGATGGCCGGAAGAAGATTTTTCCAATTGCAATAGTGGAGAGCAAGAATACTGAGAGTTGGCAATCGTTCATGAGGACGTTCAGGGTTTGACTGATCGAAATGATGTATGCATCATCTCAAATAGACATGCAGGACTCTATGAAGCCATGAATAAAATTGGAAGAGGTTGGGAGTGGAGGTGGTGCATGCGACACTATGCAAGCAATTTGCAAAGGAAGACTAAAAGCAGAATTATGTATAAGCAACTATTTCGAGTCGGTAAGCTTTCTTCATTTAAGATTGCCACTACTGCAAGTGGCACTACTGCTCGAAATGTCTCAGACTGTATCACACTACCTCTGAGATGAAGTGCTCTCTCAAGGTAAGGTTACCACTACATAAAAAAAATTAACGTTATTATCCCTAAATCTAAAAAAAATAAAACAAATGAAAACTATTCTATAAAATGGAATGTTATATACTAACCAATGAAGTCAAAATTGCGTTTTAAAACTTAAAAGCTTACGTTTTTACCTTTTTAGGTCACCAAAACGCTTCTATGTAGAATCGTGATTTTCCTTTACAAATATAGTCAAAATCTACGTTATAAAACTTAAAAGCTTGCGATTTTACGCTTCTAAGTCACCCAATCACTTCTAGATAAAATCGCGCTTTTGACTGCATTGATCCTAACCACCACGGTTTCCATCGCGTCAAACCACAGCTTGTACTGGAATAGCTGGTCACCATACTGACGGCTGTTGGCCTAAAGCCATCGAAGACCACGTGGGGATGCATCCTCGGAAATCTGTGCCCTCGTCTCTAAATGTCGAGGTGCCAGGTGTGGGAATCGCTCCCACGCCTAGAACTGCAGTAGGGCGACCCATCCACCAAGGTCACTGCCTAGAGAAGCGCCGGAATGCGTAATGTGCAAAGTCGACCTACCCATCTCACGGTACAGGTAGGATAAAACAGCAGCTCCCCAGGCGAACCGTCCAGCTCTCTGCCAATCCTCAATCAGAAGTAGGTACTGTAGGTGCACCGTAGCTCCAGGCCGATCCGGGAAAAGTACACCTCCCATCAGAGATAGAGCATAAGCTCGTGCAAACTGCTCTATAACCTCCTGTGATGCATTTTCCAGCAGATGACTGAATTCATCCCTCAGCCAAACAATCCTAACGACACCGACACAGTCTGAAAGATCAGCCAAAACCCATCCTAACAGTCTCAAACAGATCACCGACCACTCCTCATCCGGTATATGCACTACGACGGCATCACCGTCGATCGCCAGACCAGACAGTGTAACAACGTTCTCTAACGTGATCGTGATCTCACCAAATGGTAGATGGAAGGTCGACGCCTCGGGTCGCCACCGCTTTACTAGCGCAGTAATCAAACTCGCATCGGGGTTCATAGGGACTAGGGGCACGACACTTAACAAGCCTGCCGCTTTGAGATATGGCCGATAAAGCTCATGGTACGTCACTAAAATGGTCGTACCTCGAACATGGTAAGATCGATCACCAGCCTATAGTCCACAAAACTTATATTAATTTATTTTCATTCGTAATAATTCTAATCTAACTAATCTAATATCAAATTATACTAATTTCATAAAATTTGATACGTAATCCTATTCTAATTTCAGTACAGTTCAGTTCACCAACTAAAATAATCTAATTAGCTAATTAACTTTACATGAATAATTATCAAATACTTACCTCGTTTGTCCAAACAGAGTCGATACGATGTTGGCCATGTCCCCAAAGAAGTGTCGGATCGACCGGACCCGGATCAATTGTCGTCGGCGGTAATCTCATCGAATAAGGATCCATAAGTCTAGTTACTGCAAAAACAAAGCAACAAAACATTAAAAAAAAACACTAAACATTAAAAAAAAACCAAGCCGCCTACGAGATTCCGGCCGCCGACGGCGAGAGTCTCACCGCGCAAACGGCCGCAGACTCCACCACGACCTCGCCGGCCTCTCCCCCTGCCTCTGCCGGCGATTGGTTCTTCGTCGGAGGACATCTCTATCGGGCGATGGCGCTTCAGTAAGCAGAGGCGACGCTTCACTCGGCAGCAGCGGCGCCTCGGTCCTGGGCGGTAGCGCTTGAGTCCACGGAGACGGCGTCGGCTGCTCTGGTTCTTTGGTTCCCCGGGGGGGGGGGTGGAGGAGGGAAGAAGAAGAGATAAGAGGGGCCCTCCTAGGGTTCGTCGATTTAAAAAAAAGAAAAAAAGAGGGTGAGGCGGGGGCGCTGGATACTCGGGCGCCAGCGCCTAGAACTACGTAAAAAAAAGAGGGTGAGGCGGGGCGCTAGAGACTTGGGCGCTAGCGCTCAGAACTGGGTAAAATATTTAGAAACCGCGGCCCCGCCTTAGTCTCTGGTGATCCTGCCCCAAACTTTACTACAAAACACAATATTTGTGTCAATTCTTTTTAATCCGCAATATTTGTGACAAATTAAAAAAAACACAATATTAGTGTCATTAACCCGGTACTTGATCACTTTTCAAAAAGTTTGTTTCAATAATTCTTTCTAAAAGTTTGTTTTCAAAAAGTTTTTTTGAACGGGACCTGTAAGAATTAAATCAGGTCAATGACTACATCATCCAGCCGTAGCTGGTCTAACAAATAAACAGGCGCTCTGTCGAGCCAAACTTCTCTCGTCTCCCAATTGGTTTTACTATGGGCCATAATGTGCGCCGCCTGATTTGCCTCCCGTCGAACGTGGCTGATGGTGCCTTCTGCAATCCCTGGTCTCCTCATTAGTTTCTTAATATTTCGGCATATGATGCCCATTTCGGAACTGACCTCACCCTCCTCCTGCATATGTCGAACAAGGCATAGAGAATCAACTTCAAGCGCTACCCGAGTCACGTCCAGCTGATTTGTAATTTGAACTCCAAACTCCGCTGCCAGGGTCTCCGCCATCTCAACTGTGTGGCTACCTCTAATGTTCTTCGCGGCCGCCGCTATTAGCCTGCCATTGTGATCGTGAATCACCGCCCCCAGCCCGAACCCCCCTCCCGCTAGCATCCCTGCATCCGTATTAACCTTCGTCCAGCCTGTCGGTGGCCTTCTCCACTTCCTCTACTCAGTACCTACAGACATATTGTCATTCCGCTGCTGCTGCACTTGGTACTCTTCTAACAGACTCTGGGACTTCAGGACAATTTCATGCTCCGGCCACTTTGCTCCATTAAACAGCTGTGCATTTCTTTCCTTCCACAAAGCCCACAGGAGCATCGCCCAGCCTTCGACAGTCGGCTGCTGGACCTCATTCATCACCTCGACCACCCACTCCAGGCAATTCCCAGAGTTCTGAGTTTCAAACAGCTTCGCGAACGGAGACGCTCGCCAAATCCTGGAACTCCACGCACATTCGCGAAAATAATGCTTCTGAGTCTCGGGTTCATTACAGAATGGGCATGTCTCGCTTCGTTGGTCATTCTTCGCATTAACTTTCACTCTCGTGGGTAAAATTTATCTAGTGAATTTCCATAGGAAGTGCCTTACCTTGGGTGGAATATTAAGCTTCCAGACCTTCTTCAAAAATTCGGGGCTGCCTTGTGTCGCTATTCCTTCCCTCAGCTTGAAGTCATCCAGCCATTTGCTGTAGCCATCTCGCACAGTGTAGCCACCATGATAGTTATGCCGCCAAATAAGCCGATCTTGCTCATCACTGGCACGGAGAGGGATGGCCAACATCGCTTCTGCAATCTCCGCCGGGAAACATCTTCCAACTAGATCGACATCCCATTGGTCTGTGACCGGATCAATGAGCTCACGAACAAAAGAATCAACAGGCAACACTCTGGGGGCTGAACTTATGAAAGCGACCTCCCCATTAGGTAGCCAACTATCGCCCCAAATTCTGACTTGTGCTCCGTTTCCAACTCTCCATCGAAGACCCTGGCATAAGAACTCTTGAACGCCCATGATGCTCCGCCAAATGTAGCTAGGTTGGCTGCCCAAACGGGCTTCCAAAATCGTGCATTGTTTGTGATATTTAGCCCTCAAAAGTTTTGAGATAAGTGCCTCCGGCCGCTGACTCAGTGACCACAGCTGCTTTGCCAACAGAGCTTTGTTGAAGCCTTTCATGTCCCGAAAGCCCATTCCACCTTCTTCCCTCGGGGTAATTAGTTCCTCTCGACGCAGCCAATGCGCTCTTCGTTCGTTCCCTTTTTGACCCCACCAGAAACTGATGATTAAGCTGTGGATCTCGTCCAGAATGCCATTCGGGATTTTGAACACAGACATGGCATAGCTCAGCTGCGCCTGGGCAACTGATTTTATGAGAGTCTCTCGAGCAGCCACTGACATAGTTCTCTTCTTCCATCCCTTCAGTTTCTTCCTTACCCGCTCCTTTAATCCCGCAAAGAGCTCTTTTTTAGATCTCCCGACCTCAGTGACCAATCCGAGATACTTGTCTTGCTTCTCTACAATTGGCATTCCAAGAGTTCCGCCAATGATCAGCTTGTTGTGAGGCTTGACATTTGTAGCGAAAGAGACTTCAGACTTCTGGTAGTTCACCTGCTGACCAGATTCTCTCTCGTACGCCTGTAAAATCCTCTTCAACTCCAGACTCTCCTGTTGTGTTGCCCTAGCAAAAAAGATACCGTCGTCAGCAAAAAATAGATGGGTAATCACCGGGGCACCCCTTGTCACCTGAAGGCCATGTAATCTTCCTTCGGTCATTGCCTTTGTTACATATGCCGATAATCCCTCCGCACAAAGCAGGAAGAGATAGGATGACAAAGGGTCGCCCTGCCGGATTCCTCTGCTAGGGACAAAAATCTGGGAGGCATGGCCATTTACTAGCACAGAGTACGACATAGATGTCACACCCATCATTATGAGCTTGATCCAACCTTCCGCAAAGCCCATTCTCTACATTACTCCCTCCAAAAACTTCCATTCCACCCTGTCATAGGCTTTCGCCATATTAATTTTTGCTGCGAAAAAACCATGCTTACGTTTCTTACTCTTCTTCATGGTGTGGAAGCATTCAAAAGCTTCCATGACATTATCCGTAATGAATCTCCCAGGTACAAAGGCACTTTGCTCAGGGGAGATAATCCGGTACAACACTGTCTTTAGTCGATTCGCTAGGACCTTCGAAATAATCTTGTAGAGGACGTTGCAAAGGCTGATCGGGCGAAATTCCTTCGGGGACACTGGCTTCTTTGTTTTTGGGATTAGGGCTATAAGAGTGTGGTTTAGGCCCTCCGGCAGCACTCTCGTCTCCAAAATCTTCAGAATGGCCATCCAGACTTCCTCCCCGATTACATGCCAGTACCTGCGAAAGAAGAGAACTGTGAACCCATCCGGTCCTGGGGCTTTCCGCTTTCCCATTTGCTTCAGGGCTCCAAAAATTTCCTCCCTAGTGAATGGTTGGAGAAGGCTCAAGTTATCATCTTCAGTCACCCGCTGGGAGATAGACTCAAGAACAGGCCAATCATGCGGCGTCGCACCAGCAGTGAACAGTCCATCATAGTAATCCACCAAGCACTATGAAACTTCTTCTTGCCCCACAAACCAACGACCTTTTCGTCTTTCATTCTCCTGATGGTGTTTCTTTTCCGCCTCGCCGATGCTTTCCGGTGAAAATAGTTGGTGTTCTTATCCCCGCCCTTTAACCAATCTGCCCTTGACCTCTGTCTCTAGTATTGTTCCTCATTATCCAACACTTCCGCCATCTCTTGTTCCAACTGGCGGCACTGGGCAAGCACTTCCTCAGTTTTAGGTCTACGTTCTAGGACCCGGATGGCACGAGTTATCCGATACTTCTGTTTAGCAAAAGGTGGGAATTCCTTTTCACTCCATTGTGTCAGTTGAGAGCGGCATTGATCAAGTTTAGCTAGGATATCCTGGCCTCCCGAGTTACACCACACCTCCTCAATAGTTTTCAAACAGTCATCATATTTTGACCAGTGCGGCTCGAACCTAAACGCTCGACCCCATCTAACCTCAACATCCTCCGACCCTCGAGTATCACAAATAATCGGCCGATGATCTGAGTTCGCCCGATCCCAGTGCTGAACATGATTGTTTTGGAAGAGCTATTTCCATTTATCATTAGCTACAAAATGATCCAGCCTTTCTTCAATGAAACCATTTATATGCTGACGATTCTCCCACGTATAGGGATACCCATGGAAGCCCAAATCTTGAAGGCCAGTGTCGGTCAGGCAGTCACCAAAACGACTCATCTCCGATTCATGCGCGCATCTTCCTCCCCTCTTCTCGTTGGCGCTTTTGACTTGGTTGAAGTCACCCCCACACAACCAAGGCCCATCGCATTGCTGTCCAAGCCGCCTGAGAAGGTCCCAAGTCATCCACTTCTCACTCCCTTTTGGCCAGCCATATATCCCAGTAAACCGCCACCTAACCCCGTCCTCCTCCTGAACTGCGATGTCAATAAAGTTTAGGGAAAAGTCCACACGAGTTATCATTAAGTCCTCACCCCACCAAATGCTGATTCCGCCAGCTTTATTTCTCGGCGTAATCGTTGCAGGCCAACAGTCCCCGTTTTTGAAACCACAGAGTTCTCGTAAAGCTTCATTTTCGTCAACAGTCTGTTTTGTCTCCATGAGGAAAACCACATGGGGGGAAGTGCGACGCACAAGTGCTCGCAAAGAGTTAACTGCACGCTTATTCCCCAGTCAGTGGCAGTTGTAGCATAGGATCCTCATCTATGTCCTGAAGGGGATAGGTTCCCCGCACCCTCGGTTGTTGTAGATTTGGGTCCCAGCCCCCTCTTTCGGCTATTCTGCTGCATACTTGTGTCCCCGTTCAGCTTGGCATTGTTATTGGGATTATTTGTTCCTTTTCCTTTCCCTCCACTCGACGACCCCTTCAGGTTCATTTGTATTTCAGTTGGTCCCTTCCCGGACTGACTAGTGTGGGGAATCTTGTCTGTTGTTCTAGTTTCGGCACTCGACCTCGTCTCTGCCACTCTTTCCATTGCCCTGACCTTATCATTGGGTCGGGCCTCGTGGGATAGTGTTACAGCCGGTTGTTTCTCCGACGTAGCAACCGACGGGGGTTGAGGTTCCTGTCCTCCACCTGGCGTCTCTTCCACGACATTTTCCTGGAGCTCAACCCTTGTTTCATTCATGCCAACGCCCATTTGTACCTGTTCGTCCTCATTTAGTGCCGCAAATCGCGACCCAGAACCTTGCCCAACCTCTTCCGAGGGAGTAGGGCTTCGCTGTTGTCTCCCGCTATTTCTCTTGTCTATTTGTTTTCCATTCGAGCTCTTCCACTTTGGTTTCACAGTCATCCATTCCCCGTAAAGGGGTCGTTGAGTGCCTTCTCCTGTTGTCGTGTTCTCTGGTTCAACCACTGGTTCCACAACCTTAAACAGCTTTGGGCATGTCACTTTCATATGACCATACATACCACATTCAGAGAAAATACGATGCAAGCCTTCGTACTCAATGTAATACGTTATTCCTTCGATCTTGTATTGCGAGAGCAATGGTTTGGTCAGTTCCACTTCCACACAGACCCTGGCAAAGCGTCCTCGGTCCCCTAGCTGAGTTGCCCGGTCAACTCGCACTGGTCGCCCAATTCTTGACGCGATTCGTTCCACAGCCTCCTTATTAATGAACTCACTAGGAAGTCCTGGTAGTCTCGCCCAAACCATAGTAGATGCCACCTCGGCTAGCTTGGGGTTAAAGTTGCGACGCCACGGACGTACCGTTATGTAATAATCACCAATCATCCAAGGGCCTCCAATGACTGCCTGTTCGTAGTCATACTGACTGGAGAAACGAACAGCATAGAATCCAAAGGAAAGACTTGAGATCTGCAGAGCACCACATTTTGCCCAAAGCGTTTCCAGTCTTCGTGAGATCACGGGGTATGGGAAGGTTCGTCCCAAAACAGTAACTATCAGGGGAGATCGCCATTTATGCCTCCATCTTTGCTTCTCCATAGCCGTGTACGCTATGGTAGGGCAGCGTGGATCATCGTCTTCAGGGATTATATCATCCAGATCATCTTCACGCATAGCGGCAGCCACATCTTCTGAATCTGATTCCGCGATGTACCAGTCGTCCTCAGCATGCAGGTCGTTGAAGAGCTTACGTGCTCCACTCCCCGTGCAAGCCGTCCTCTTCTGATCTCTCTGCGGAGAAGGGTTTGTCCTCGACGTTGGGGAGCGAGCATCCTCCATCAGTTCTTCATCACTAAACAACGAGTTTTCTCTCATCGGTTTGGCCTTCTTCTTAGGTTGCTGCGTTTCCCGATCCCCTTTGGCGTTTGGGGATGAGGTAGTCGGCGGAGCCCTCCTGATACCCCCGTTTGGTTTCTGCTGGCCGTCGTCCGGGGGAGGGACCCCCGGCGCAGCTCCTGTCATGGGTCGCGAGTAGCTCAAGGCACCGAGCAGAAAGTAGCACCGCTCCGAGATTTTTGGAGCTAGGGTTTTTTCCGGTTGGGACTTTTCCGAACTTATTCTTTCTAAATATTAGTATGGTGTTTTGGCATAGAATGGTACGAAGACATTTTCTTACCACAGGTAACTCACTTTTTCTTGTAATTTTCTATCACCTGTAACTCACATTTTCTTACCACAGGTAACTCATATTTTCTTTGAATAATTTATAAAATTCCTACCACAGGTAACTCACTTTTTCTTCTTTTTTTTTTGTTACCGTCACCACTTTGCTCATCGACATTTTTTTTTCCACTTCAAGAGAAAAGAATATACTCTTGGGGGAAAAATTAGCATGTCAATGTAAGCATTGATGGGAAGAATATGGAAAGCATTTACGAAATTTGCCATTATAAATAATCGCAAAACTTGTTCTTTAACTTTATAGAAATTGATAAACAAATATGATAAGGGGTGAGGTACTTTTGGTCAGTCTAGGTGAAAGAACCAGAGCAATAAAATTTAAGTTCGAGTCGTTGTTGGTGAAAAGATGGGTGACCGGATCCTTCCAGATTAGTGTGCTATTCGACTTTCAGTCAGTTGACCTGCAATGCAGGGTAAACCTCTGACTTGGGAGCCTGAAGTTGCCTCCCATTTGATCAAATCAACGAGGAAAGTCCTAGAAACGTATGAGAGAAAATGAAATATAAAGTACAAAGGATAGAAAATGTGTTACCCATTGTGAGTTTTGAAGGCTCAGTATTTACATGGTGGGAGCCCTTAAGATTTCGGGTGTGCATGATCGACTGGATCCTAGCCGTATCATCGATCCACTAACAACTAGGTCATCTATGTATCGCTCAGGATCCGCAAATTCCTGACAACTATTGCAGAGATTGTTATTCTTTTTGTTAGCGGGAACCACCCTCACATAGAGGGGTGATCCGTGAATCCTTCGTCTACTAGCCGTCACCTGATGGGAGGGTTGGTTATCACCATGCGCTTTTATCACCTATGAGAGTCAAGATATAACAGTTGGTCCTTTGCCAACTAAGGGGACTGAGCAAGCCTTCCCTTTGTACCCTAGGTCCAGACGACTAGGTCGTGCAACCCAATAGTCGGGTCTTGCCCAAAGGCGACCATTGTGGTGTTGTCTCACTGTCCGTGACCATTAAAACTTTTAAAGAAAGCGGCTCATGATATCAGTTTGGTCATGGTTGGAGACCATTTCGTCTATCCACCGATTGATCAGACTAGTCAAGTGATTTTTCAATTCTCCAAACTCAATCCAACGATAAACAAATACACATTTTCAACATGTCAAAAAAGTCACAAACAAGCTATTAGTCTAAAAATATGTGGTTTAGTGGCATTCACTTATCATATTCTTGAATGCCTTCAGAGATTCCTCGCTTCTTCCGGTACTGATAGGAGCAATTACCATGTTATTAACCGATCGAAACTTTAATATAACCTTTTCTGATCCCGCTGAAGGGGATTCTTTTTTTTTTCTTCTTCTTTTCATAGAATCAATTCCCATTTTATTTATTTCATTAAAACGGAATAGGAATCAAAGCAATCTCTACAAACCGATACAACGAGAGGAAGTTCCCAGTGTAAGAACTCCCTGTAAAGCCACCCAACAATACAACTCCACCAAAGGAGCCCCTTACTATAAATCAATCTACTGAAGTAACTGTTGGGCTAGCATGAACAGGCCCCAGGGGGACATGAGATTGGTCAGGCCCAAGCCCATGCACAGGCCCCAGGGGGACATGAGATTGAGGCAGGCCCAAGTAAGTGAATTAGGGTTACATTTGGAGGAGTAGGCGCATGACGACAAAAAAGAGGAGAGGACAAACGGTACGGAGTAGGAAGACCGAGAAGGAGGCACCTGGCGGGGGTGGTCCCTGCTAGGCGCCCCTTTTGGGACATCTTGGAGCTGCCACGTACAGGCGCCTGACCATTGTACCGTCGAGCATTAAATGAGGTGGTGATGTGGAGCTAAATGCCAGGAGGACGGTTGGGGCTTCGACGACTATAAATAGTGCCTGGTAGGTGGCATTTACGCAGGTTGGCTTCTCTCACTAAAATCTCTCTCGACACTTATCTCTCTAGAATTTGTACTGACTTGAGTGTTGGAGTGCAAACGGGCACCGAGAGGCCCTCTAGGCTCTTATTTGTGCAGGGTCTTGGGCCTCAACTATGGTTAGTTCCCATAAGTTTCGAATAGGCAAGACTGGTGGGTTGTGGCTCAAACAATTTGCGAGCCGAGAAGGGGGAGAAATCGACCAGGCGCATCGAGAATGCTAATGAAGGAAATGAAGGGGAGGATAGCCCGAGATCGGAGAGCTCGAACCCCGAGGAGGGCGAGCGTCAGCCGAGTCAGGAGTTGAGTATGGATGTAGAAGGAGAGGGTAACCATGGGCGCCCATCAGCGGGTAAAGGGGAATCCTTGACGAAGAGGGAGTTGTTTCGAATCATAGCTGACCAAGATCGGGCCATAGCGGCGCTTAGAAGAGAGTTGAAAGGAGGACAAAGCGAAGACATGATGACATATAGACCAGGAGTGAGAAAGCTAGAAAGGGCGGGGGATGACTCTGAGTCCATGCAATGTGGATTCCCGCATTACAATGAGCAAGGCGTCGATCTGCCTGGGCGCCCGCGCGTCCTAGGGTATCACATACGTTGGCCGGGGCCTATGAGTGGCCAACCAAACGAGAAGAATCTTGACCGGTACTGTGACTTCCATCGGGACAAGGGGCACTACATGGCTGATTGCTACCAACTTAAAGCTGAACTTCAAACCTTTGCCGATAAGGGAATGCTCAATGACTTTGTCAGGAAAGTGGAAGAAAAGACCCATCGCACCTGCGAGGCAGGCGCCTATGGCACCTGTGGTCCAGAAGGCCCCTGAAGTACCGGTGACTCAGCAGGTGCCTGAGATACCCCCATCTCCTTTTGAAGTGGACCAAGAAGGAGAACCAGTCGCGTCAGGCTCACAGTCGAGTCCATCACCGGCACTCTCGACCTTAGAGAGAGATTGGAAAGAACAAGGCGCCTAAGGGCCACCTCGTTGGAAGCAAAGGCAGCGGTACATATACACTTCAACCAAGAACTGGATGAGGTGTGCCAAGTCCCGTCGAAAGAGGCTTTGGAGATACAAGGGGTGATAGGGGGATGCAAGGTGAAAGAATGTTGGTGGACACCGGTAGCTTGATGGATGTCCTGTTCAAAAGCACGTTTGAGCGCATGCAATTGGCGCCCAAGTTGGTGAGCCCCTCAAGCTCCGTGTTAATTGGATTTTCAGGGGCGCCTGCCCAAGTCATCGGGCGCGTGCGCCTGCCCGTGACCATTGGAGATGAAGCACATTTCATGACGCATGCAGTAGAATTTGGAATCGTGGACTGACCATCACCGTACAACGTGATACTTGGCCGACCCCTCTTGGCACAATTCAACGGAGTGGCTTCCACTTGTCACCAAATGTTGAAGTTTGTGGAGCCCCAAGGCATAGGCATCTCGCGAGGGAGGAATGTTCCACGATATGCACGAGAGGAGGATCCAAGATACCGCGTCCGAAAACACAGGCTGAACACCATCGACATTCGCCCTGAGGAGAAGCCCCGATCAGAGTCTGTGGACGATGAGTGAGTTGTGACGATAGACAAAGGGCGCCCAGAACGACAAGTGCGAATATCCGCGCAGGCCCCTGAAGTCATGAAGGCGCCTTTGATATAGTTGTTGCGAGAGTTTGGGGAGCTGTTTGCTTGGAGCACACAAGACATGCCTGGTGTGTCCCCTGAGACAGCGGCGCATAGGATCGCCGTTGAGGAGGGCAAAAGGCATGTTCAACAAAAGCGCCGAAACCTATCCTTCGAAAAGAGGAGGCGCTTCGTCTTGAAGTTGTAGATTACTCGAAGCAGGATTCGTGGAGGAGGCAAGGTAGATCACATGGATTTCAAATGTCGTGTTTGTCCCAAACCCGTCGGGAGACTAGAGAATGTGTGTGGACTTCACTAACCTCAACCGGGCGTGTTCTACGGATGCATACCCCATGCCACGAATCGATTTGCTCATAGATGCAACAGCTAATCATGAGGCACTTAGTTTACTCGACATGTTCTCAGGCTACCATCAGATCCCCATGGTGGAGGAGGATAGGGCGAAGACGGCTTTCATGACACCTTTTGATAACTTTTGCCACAGAGTGATGGCGTTTGGGTTAAAGAATGCAGGAGCCACGTACCAGCGCATGGTAAACCAGGTTTTCTGCAAGCAACTAGGGTGGAATGTGGAATACATGGATGATTTGATTGTGAAAAGCAAGAGTCGCCAGGACCACATCATGGACTTATAAGAAACTTTTGAGACGATGCACCACTTCAGGTTAAGGCTTAACCCTAAAAAATGTGTATTCTTGGCAGAGGAAGGGGAATTCTCGGGGTTCATGATAACGAAGCGGATAATTGAATCCAACCCCAAACAAGTCGAGGCATATATGAGCTTGGCTCCCCCTCGAATGCCGAAGGAGGTACAAGGATTAACAGGGAGGTTAGCGGCACTTGGGCGCTTCATTCCGAGGGCCTCTGACCGGGGCGCCCCCTTCTTCAAGGTCGTGAAAAAAGGCTACCAAATTCAGGTGGACCGAGGAGTGTGACAAAGCTTTCAAAGACTTGAAGAGGTTGCTTACAGCGCCTACAGTGATGACTGCGCCCAAAGCAACGGAGGTGCTATACTTGTACATAGTTGTGTCTCACATCGCCGTAATTGTGGTTCTCATATCCAAAGATCCGCTGAAAAGCAAAGAGAGGCCGGTATATTACGTCAGCCGCACCATGGTAGGTCACGAGAAACGATACGCGCCCATAGAAAAGGCAGCGCTGGCGGTGGTGATGGCGGCGAACAAACTCCGACCCTATTTTCAGGCCCATAGCGTTGTGGTGCTCACAAACCTTCCCTTCAAGACTGTTCTTGGGTCTATG